AGTGGCCCGCTGGGACAAGACTGACGCTGGAATAGCGGTGAAAACATTTGAAGCTCTGCTGTAAGCATGCACTTCATATCTTTACTCGATCTAGTTGCTTGATAGTCAAGTCTGATAGGCAACAAGCATATTCAGATTCCTTATCTCAAGTCAGCTTTGCACTTTTTTCTTTTGATAACATTTCAGCTAGGAACATGCATAGTTGCAATGCCTATTCCCACTTGCACATTCATTGCATATCATACTTTACATTCATAGCCACTTTCTACACCACTGAAACCACCAAGAGATTCTGTTGCATATGGAATCTTTAGTGTTCAATTCAAACGATTCATTCATACCCACTTTCTACACCACTGAAACCACCAAGAGATTCTGTTGCATATGGAATCTTTAGTGTTCAATTCAAACGAGTTTGAGCTGCATTCCAATGATCACAGTTTGCGTATTTTGTGTAAACAGCAACACTTCCACCTGCAAGCTTTTGAGATTCATTAAGAAATTCACACTCTTAAGCTGGGCTTTCCACAGATCTAGTTTCAACATATTTCTCTGACTATTTAATATTAAATGTAAACTAAACTAGTTTCTAAATTTTCATCGCTAAAGACTGTAAGGCACATTGTCCTAGAACTTGACATTTGCTCTTAGCTCCATGACATGGAAATTCTCATATCCTGGCTAATAGTCTAACAGTATTTATGGTTTCATGTCTCTGGCTGCTTACCGACCACTTAGCGTGGCCCAGAGCCGTAACTCTAACTTAATTATAATACTCGAGCACACTCGTATACAAACATTCACACACCCAAAGAACGCCCCAAATGCCGTGAGGCAGCCGCACGATTGAAGCGAGCCCCTTCTGAATGCTGTAAATAACTAATATGCTAATTAGACGGCGCTCCTAAGTAGTACTCGCTGTACGCTGCTCAGATACAGATCTCACTGTCCTCCCTCTCTCTCTCTCACTCTCCTACCTCAGCGGCCCACTAATTGTTGGTCAATGGTCGGCGGCTGAGTGCATTTTACTGGGTTAACAGGTGACTCGGAAAGAGTTCACTTCTAGAGAGGGAGAGAAAGAGAGAGACAGCGAAAATTCCCTATGACCGCTAGACTCAAATGCAGCCACGCCCACTAGCAGGCGGTGCCAAAGAACCGAAATGTTTGAGGTGCATAATTAGCATAAAATTATTGAACTAATTGCTGCATATGAATTGCTTAACTACTAAATTACTAAAGAGCTTTGGCTGCCTGCCCAGTGTGGGAAATGCAAATGATCCTCATCTAGTCTAATATTTCATTAGTTGTAGCGGCTGCTGCTGCTGTTGTTTTTCTTCTAGCTGCTGTTGTTGTTGTTGCTGCTGCTGTTATCTCATTACACAGACAAAGCGACCCTCGGGGCAAAATTTGGCTAATTTGGGCAAGAGGCAGCAACATCTCCATAAATTATGCAACTCCTGCCACAGCCGAGGCAACGGCTCTTTGAAGCGCCGCTCGAGATTCTCACATTTGTCAACACTCGCCGGCCACATTCTGGCGGCAAATGCGGTGGCATGCAACATGGCCAGCTAAAGGGTATTGCAGGTACTGTTATAGGGCGGACGGGTACTTGGCAGACAAAACGTAACGTGATCGTATTATATTATAATTATACAAATTTAATTATAGTATTTTAACATGATTTCTCATCGCAATCTTCAACTTTATATAATAATTATGTTAAGCCTAATTATGTTATTTCATAAATTAAATAATCGAAATAAGCGTATAACTACCTCGGTGAGCTTGGCTTGAAATTTGTTTACAGTTCGCTCTAGCTCAGTTGCAGTTGCAGTTGCAGTTGCAGTTGATGTTGCCACTTGCCACTTGCCGGCCAGCAGACACATAAATCCCAGGCCGTCGAGCTGCGATGAGCTGCAGAGCTGAGGCTTGCCTGATCGCCTGTTCATTTGCACACGGTTTGGCAATTTCACAGATTTATCATTTTTATCGTTTTGCTCAGCCAAAATTTATTAATATGCCACGCTGGCGAACCGGTCTGGCGCACCTCGGCCCGGAAATTTATGGCCGCTGGCTGCGTCAGCGATTGGCAACAGGCCGCAGCCTGCAGTCAGCTGGCAGCTAACAGCTGGAGCTGGAGCTAGAGCTGGAGCTGGCCAACTTTTACGCATGTTACCGTTGCACTGTCGCCTGGCGTTCTTGCAGCTGCTCACTCGCCGCGCCGCTGGCTGAGCTGCAGCTTAATATTTTGTGGGGATTAGATAAGCGAGCTGGTGCATAATTGGCCAGATCTTTGGGCATGCTGTTTGCATATCGCGTGCCATCATGCCGTAGCCATCAGTTTCACTTGCGATCCAATCGAGCTGGCACTCAGCTGGCAGGGCTTAGACAAATAAATTGCCAACAGAACCGGAGGGGGCTAACCAACAACTATCCTGGATAGCTAGCCAGCTATCTGGCTGCCTGGCATGCAGATGAGATTGTGATCTTGGCCTGTTATGAGTCAATCAGACGCCTGCTACATTGTCACCATCACCTAGCGGTTGCCACAGGCGCGTAGGCAAGCAACATGCGGAGGTTGTTGCGATTGCATCATGAAATTTAACTGCCTTGGAATAGTCGTACAAGGGGCGCTCAAAAGTTTTCGCATAAATTGGCAGCAAGGCGGCTTGGCGTCAATGCGAGCTACCGCTGCTGCTGCTATTGCTGCTGGCTGGCTGCCTGGCTGGCTTATAAGGCGCCGCTGAGGTAACGCTCCATTCAGCTGTCCGCTGGGCAAAATGTTTATGAGATGACGATGCTGGCCGGAGGACAGGCAGGCCCTATCTCTGCTCAATTCTTTCATAATTTCTATGAGCTACACAAAAATACTACCTTAATGGTAAATGAATAGACATCAAAGCCGCCGTCTGCCCATATCATTTCTTGTCCTTGGCATTCGTTGTGGGTAGCCCAAGCTTCAAGTCGGCTGACACTTTCTTCACGAGCGACGCTATCTCCTTGAAGGACTTGTGGTTCTTATCGGACAGCAGATTGAATATCACGCTCTCTGTGCTGGATATTATGCAACCAATGTGACGTAGTCGCTCTAGTGCCAAGTCCCGATCCTGGTTGAGACGCGATGCACAGCAGTCAGCGACCAGCCACACATCTATTCCGTTATTGATGAGGTCAAAGGCCGTTTGCTCTACGCACACATGCGTCTGTCGGGGCACTCAAAATGTTAGACGGAAATACATTATATTCGAACATGAAAACCTTGCCTCAATGCCAAAGAGCACCGCCGTCTTGGGCTTATCGCTAAAAAGATTCTTCATCAAATTTTCAACTTCCGGCACAATCATGCTGAATTTTGTCTTTGGAACGATGGCACAGGCATGCTTCACATCCAGTTCGCTAACTGTGCTGCCCAGTCTCTCGGGATATTGCTCTGTAACCACTAATGGAACATTCAACACCTTACCAGCTTCTATCTAAAACTTAAGCTATTTTCTATTTAGGATATATAAGTACAACTTACTAATTTCTTGGAATTTTCTATTACCGCCCCAATCAAGGGAATAGCGGGTTTAAACTTTTCTTGTATGTCGCACAACATGAACAACGTCTTGTTTGATTTCAGGCGGTAAAGTGATTGTCTCGTACGGTTGACCATATTTTTTCCAAAATTGATTAGTTAAATTTTGAATTTTTGAAGGAATTATTGAATTTGAAAATTCCCGCAAAGCTGTCGCCCTCTATTGGTAGTCGTAAGAACTTCGTATCACAATATGAATGCAATTCAAATTATCGATATCGATGCCGCTGTTAATATGATTGTGGAAAAAATGCGCTCTGTTAACCTAATGTTACGTGTTAAAATACAATTTCTATAAACGTTGTCATATTTTCGCAGCAACAAGTGTCGTGCATCAAAAAATTAATTTAACAGTTGTAACAGTGATGCACAAAACATAAATTAATAATTATAATTCACGGTTAGGATCGAACCCAACTGGAATGCTGCCAAATGAAATTAATACGAATTTATAAATATTGGAAAAGTTCTTGTTAGCCAAAAGCATTGATGAATTTTACATAAGACTTCTTCCAAGATTTGGAAACGTAAACAAAACAGTAAGTAAAAGTAAAGCCGGCTGTTTCATAACATTTCGTACAATTTGTAATATTGGCTTGGCAAACGAGGCATTTATCGAGCTGCCGCCCATCAGATGTTTGCTATCGAAAACCTAACATTCTTGGGCAGCAGGCCACACTGTTTTCTTTTAAACTGGTCATACAGTCTGCTACCTCGCCTATGCTTTGTTTACCTTTTGCTGTTTACATATTTTAATTTTTTAAAATTTTTATTACATCTAAGTGTTCGATTTGCCATTCAAAATTCTGTAAAATAGGCAAGTGTAAAATAGAGTGGCAATGTATTTATTGTAGTGTTAAGTAATGCTTTGAGAAAGGTCGTGCTGCTGAGCATTGACTTGGTCGCAACCACCAGTTGCATGCCGCTAATATGCATGCAATTGTGTGCAGATGCATGTGTGTGTTTGAGTGTTTATTTGTGTATGCATCATTTTTGTCGAAACACCAATTTGGCATCGAACCAGCGCCAAGTTCTTAGTTGACAGTTACAGCGCGCACAACTAATTGCAGGCGCATAAATTACGCTTCTCTGAGAATTATCAAGGCGTTCAAATTACAAACAGATACACATACATATACGCATATATAAATATTTGTGTGTAGGCATGTGTTTGGCAGGGTTATTTCACTTTCGAGATAAGCGTCGCTGTACGATTTGCTGTCTGCTGTCATATAAAAGCAAAAATATCAAATGCTCGACAACGTGCTGACGGCTAAAGCAACGCCGGCGTCAACAGCAACGCCAGCGTCGGTGTCAACGTCGGCGTCGGCATCAGCTTTGCCGTCAACACTGCCAACGCCTTTATCAATTTGCAACGGATACGCAAGTTGTGACAAGTTGAATTAATCGCTTAGCCATCGCGATGCGCTCTAGAGGCTAGACCCTAGACTCGAGACTAGCACACAATCCCAGCACTCTCACAATTAGCCTCTCTCACTTGTTCTCCCACTCACTCTTACTCTGCCTCCCATTACTCTCCCATCCCCCATCTCCCCTCAGCCAGCTAATTGCGCCGCCCTCTCTCTCTTTGCCAAACTGTTTTCGAATTGGTCTCGGTCCATTCGCATCGCAATCGTTCAGTAGCTAAGGGAAGCATTCGCCTGTCAGACGTTGTCTGAATCTGCCCCAGCAATTTTCGACTGTCCTAGAATTGGCGTTGGCGTTTCATTTGATTAATATTGATCAATTGATAAATACAGACACACAGACGCACATATACACGTTCAGTTGCGCCCTGGTCATAAATTCTGACACAAATGCTGTTGCTCTGACGCCCGCTGAATAGGAATTGAAGCAGCCGCCACTTCCCGCTGAATTGGTTTGTTTGCGTTGGCCTTCAAGCCATTAAAGCTTTGCTAATATTTTGCCTTCTTATGTCTGTTGCAGTTAGTCGTATAGTACAAATTGTATAGGATGAGCCTACAATCCATAAAATATCAGCGCGGGAGCCTGGAGATACTCGATCAGCTGCTTCTGCCCGTCGTCTCCAAGTATCTGCCGGTGCGTGGCGTCGAGGATGGCTGGAAGGTGATCAACAAGATGCAGGTGACCACCAATAATCATGTAGTTGAATTATGTTCAAATAGCCATTTGTCCGCTCTATAAATACCGCAATTAAAGGTTTCGTTTAGATCATTTAAATAAATCGTGAAGATTGCTGCCAAGCATCAAAACGCTTGCACACATCATCATCAAAATTAATTGCATCTTGCCCAACAGCAAATTGTTTGCGGATTTCTCATTTAAATGGGGTGTTCTCTACTTATTACCCAGACGGAATATTGAGAAGCGAACGCTGGGCCGCACTTTTATTTATTATAATTTTAGTAAAACAAATAAAATCAGCGAGAGGGAGAGATTATTTTGTTTACTGCTGTCTGTGTAAAAAGAGCACGTATGCGGCCCATCACGTGGACTCCGAGTCGCATTATATAATGTGACTATAAAGAGTTTATGGCCAGATAAGAGCGTTGACACAGCAGCAGCAGCAGATGATACCAAATACAAACCCCGCATTCGTACCCTCTCAGTAATTGTCTGCGTCTCCGTTTCTGTTTTGTTTACGATCTTTGTAGGTGCGGGGCGCTCCGGCTATTGCCATTGTGGGCTGCCTCTCGCTGGCCGTTGAAATCTATCCAGAGGAGTTTAGTAGCAAAAAATCGCTACGTCAGGAAATCGAAGGCAAGCTTAACTATTTGGTTTCCGCACGGCCCACAGCTGTCAACATGAAAATTTCCGCCGACGAGCTAATCACGCTAGCCAACGAGCTCACCAAGGATGATGCTATAACGGTGGAAGAGATGAAGCAAAGGTAAATCGTAAGACAAATATTCAAGTTACAAGTACATACAAGTTACAGAAATGTTATTCCAGATTCCTGAAAGCCACCGAGGCCATGCTGGAAAAAGACATTGCCGACAACCGAGCGATTGGCGCTAATGGAGCTAAGGCCATACTGGAGCATGTGGCAGAGGCAACGGGTGTGGCTACAGCTGGTCCTGTACGTGTGTTGACGCACTGCAACACGGGGTCTCTGGCGACAGCTGGTTATGGCACAGCGCTGGGCGTCGTGCGGAACCTAAGCGAGCTAGGCAAACTAGGTAAGCGACAGCTTCATTCCAAACAAGGCAGCTTCTAATTAACGAGCAACTACAACTCTGCAGAGCACGTTTACTGCACGGAGACGCGGCCGTATAACCAGGGCGCACGCTTGACTGCTTATGAGCTGGTGCACGAAAAGCTACCCGCCACTCTAGTGCTGGACAGCATGGTAGCGGCGTTGCTGCGAGTGAAGAATGTTGCAGCAGTTGTCGTGGGCGCGGATCGGGTGAGTTACTCAAGCCGTCGAATAAGCTTGACCATCTAATCAGTGTCCTTAATCCCATCCAGGTGGCTGCCAATGGAGATACGGCCAATAAAATTGGCACCTATCAAATAGCAGTGGTGGCCAAGCACCATGGCGTGCCGTTCTATGTGGCTGCACCGCTGACCTCCATCGATCTGGAGATACCCAGTGGTGATCATATCATAATCGAGGTGCGGCCCGACCGCGAAATGACACACGTGGGCGAGCATCGGATTGCGGCGCCGGGCATTAATTGCTGGAACCCCGCCTTTGATGTGACGCCCGCTTCCCTCATCACTGGCATCATCACGGAGCATGGCGTCTTTAAGCCGGAGGCGCTCAAAGTGGAGATCACCAAGCTGCTCGAGTTATAACAGCCGCACAATCTGTTGTTTCTGTTGTTAATATTTACGTTAAATGAATGCACTCCAGTTGCAAAAAGCACCGCACAGACAGTCAGAGCCACACGGAACCGCATGCAAATGAGGAGGCAGCCAGCTGGTTTTTGTATATGTAAATCGGCGCTGAACGAAAATATACAATGCACATTATATTTACACAACTAGGCTGCAGAATTGAGGCAGATGTTTCACTTGTTATGTTTTGATTCTTGAATGTTGTAGTCTTTGTTTGGCGTAGCTTAAAACCTCTGCGTAGTTTGAGAATGCCCCAGTAGATGCTAACCGACGGAGAATGGAGTCACACATAGCATCGCTTCTGTTGTTACTGCTCGGCTTGGGTTTGTGCACCTGCCATCTGAATATCTACAACAATTTTCGCAATATGCAAGTGCGCCTGGCCAGTTCGACTGCCCCAGCTCCAAATGCAAACCAGCCATTGCGCGAGGGCCGCGTGGAGATCAGTTTTGATAATGGCGCCAGTTGGGGCACCATTTGCAGCACGCATTGGACACTGCGCGAAGGCAATGTCGTGTGCCGGCAGCTAGGCTTGGGCTACGCTTCCATGGCGATTTCCAGTACGAAGCATGGCAATAGTCATACGAATCCTTGGGGCCTGGTGGGTACACGATGTCGAGGCAATGAGCGAAAGTTATTGGAGTGCTCCCGAGAGCCGACATATCCGGCCGTGTGCGAAGCCCACAATCGTAATGTCAGCACAGTGGCCTGTGTGAGCAAATCGGCAGATCTGGAGCTTGGTGTTTCGGACATCGAGATAAGTGCGTACCTAGCATTGGTCCCCATGACTCAGTTGACCTGTGCCATGGAGGAGAACTGTGTGTCGAAAGATGCGTATGTGATACGCAGAACAAATCCGAGCGCCATCCGCAAGCTGCTGCGCTTCTCAGTCAAGGCTTCCAATGTGGGCAATGCCGACGTTAGTCCCTATGCCAACTATAAGGACTGGGAGTGGCATCAGTGCCACATGCACTACCACAGCATGAATGTCTTTGCCACATTCAACGTGTACGACAATCGGTATCAAAAGGTGGCCCAGGGCCACAAGGCCTCCTTCTGTCTAATGGACTCTGAATGCAATTTAGGCGTGGCCCCTAAGTACACGTGTGACAATACCACGCAAGGTAAGTTTTCAACTGCTCCCTATTCACATGAGCTATGCTTACGCTAAACCATTGATAGGGATTACCGCTGGCTGCTCGGACGTGTACAGCCATGTGCTGGATTGCCAGTGGGTGGATGTGACCACGGTGCCCGTCAACAAAAAATATATTTTGCGCGTCGAGCTTAATCCCGAGTACGTTCTGGGCGAGATGTCCTTCGAGAATAATGGCGCCGAGTGTGACCTGGAATATACGGGCGAAATCTTAACCACAAGGGTCACCAGATGCAAACGAAAGCCGTTGCTTATATGAAAAAAAAAAATGCAATGTATAAAAAAGAATACATATAAGCCGCAATTATTTTAATTGAATAATTGAATTTAATTAAAAAATAAAAATAATAAACCAGCCCAATCTGTCAATGTGCTTGCGCTTTATAGGATTTCATAAATTGACTGATGCAGTCATATAAAATGATTCGACCCTTTTGTTACTCACTTCATTAATCGTATATTAATTATGAGTAAACTTTAAGAAATCCAGCTTTGAGTGCGTTACTTCATTATAATGACAGCTCATCCATATAATCGCAATACCAATATAATCAATAATGTCGAACTTATAAATAAAAGGACAATTGGGTATTGTTGTAGTTAAATACGTTTATTGTTTTGTTTTTTTCTTTTGTTTGTTGAATGTTGGTTTTGTTTTTGTTTCGCATTTAATTGCTCTTACACAGTAGACTATATTTGTATATCTGGTATTTATTATTATGATCTATAAATATGCCTTTAATTACTATAGATAAATATTTCGGCGCTTGCTTTGATTCCTTTGTGCTAAAATTCAATTACGCTTTTTTCGAGCTTGTGGCGTTTATTTTGTTTGACATTTTTTTTTTTGTTCTTTTTGTTTGTTTTGTTTTGAGTTGGGTTGTGCTTTATTCAATGTAATATTTATGTAAATTGTTGATTCTTGTTCTTTTTGTTTTTCATTTATTAATCTTCTTTGTTGCCATTGTATACCCTAATTTTAGCTAATTGTGCCAAAAATGAATTGAATTGCAACTAAATGTGTTTGTCTCGCATTTAAGCTGCAATCGTGTGCGATTTGCATGATGAGTAACATAATAAATTCTCCTTTATTTTTAATTGTTTGTTGCTAATTACAAAAATGCCTACACTACACATTTATACACAGAACTCTTAAACACTATCCGACGTCTCAATTAGCAATTAGCTGGCATCGTTTGCAGCATGCAAAATTGCATTATGTATACATACACACACACAGGCACACGCACACATACGGCCTCCTGCTCGAGCATAGGCTGTGGCATGTATGCAACATTATTGCATGACGAAACAACAAATATCAATAATCACGTTCGCAAAATCCTAATGAACAAATTGCAGTCAACTTAAACTTAGGCAACAGAATTGTTTGAAGAGCATTGAAAAGCATAGGAAAAGTGTGCGGCAATTATAAAAAAATGGTATATGTATATGTATGTGAATAAATGTACATTCATTTATGTAAGCATTTACATGAATATATATATATATATATATTTGCATGTATATATATATTTGTATGTTACATATATGTAGAGTTGTATGTACTTATTTATGTTAAGTATATCAATAAAAATGCATTAAAGTTGTTCGAGTATTTATGTCATTTGCTTAACACGCTAACTAAAACACCTGACGCATTAGTCCCCCTGACTGCCCGCCTCTGCTCACACACACGTTGCAATAACACGTTGAGCACAAAAACTACTTTACAAATATTACATTCGTTACTCCGGCATTGCCTCTAGATTGCCCTCTAAAGAGAAATGCGTGTAAGTGTCTGGGTGTGTATGTGTGTGTGTGTGTGTGTGTGTATAAATTTATATTAAATATATGTAGTTACTGCCTGTGTGTGTGTTTTAAGTAACATTACTTTAGGTGCTATGACAAACTGACGGCCAATTTGGCTTGCGCTTTTCATTATGTATTTATATTTGTTTTTATGTTGTTTAGTTTAGTTTTGCTTTGTAGCCTTTAAATTACCATAAAAACGTACTTGTTTAATAAGTAGCTATGGTATAGTATGCTATGGTATGTGTTCTACTACCATTGATTAAGTAACCACCTAACGTGCCTTTCTCTCAGTGTACTCGCCAGTTGTGTGAGTCTGTATCGCTTGTGAAAACATTAATAAATTAATTTTTGCATGCTTTTCGGATCCCTTCTATCCTTGCTTGCTTCCATAGTTAATCATCACACATATATATACATATACATATACATATAATTTTAAAAATGTTCGCCCTTGTGATTCGTATTGTTATGGTGGCTGTTGTTCGTGTTTTGCAATGAGTTTCAGTTGTGCTGCGCTCTGTGCGCTTCGCTCCCAATGGGGGTTTTGATTGGTTTTGGGGTTGGATGTTAATTGTGCGCGTGTGGGTCACAATTCGTTCTATGTGTGTACGTTAGGCGTTTGGGCTTTAACTAATCTATGCTATCAGCTCTCGACCGTCGTGGATGACACGCTGTGACTAGTGGTTAGCAGGTGCTCAGGAATGGGTATGGGTTGAGTGCGAGCCGGCTGCTTCTTCTGCAAATAAATTAAGACAGAACAAAACGTCAGTTACTATAAAAGAAAACACGGAGTGTGCTTAATCATTCATTACCTTGCGCCTGAATGGAAAGCAGCCGGCCTTGTCCGGTTCCGGTACGGCATTGATCAACAAGTCGGGCGTGGGACTCTCGTCGGGTCCGAAGACGTTCAGCTCGCGAAAGCATTCGGTCTCCATCATTTCATTTTGCCATGAAATGGATACAGAGCCCGTATTGAATTTCGTATAAAAATTCGTATCGGACTCGTCGATATTGACGCCCTTCACAGTGGAGAACTGTTCAATATCGAGCACATCTTTGGCGTAAACGGCGTGCGGCTGTTGGCGGCATGAAATAATGTTTAGGTGGCGCGTTATTGATTTGGCTCGACGTATTACTTACGTCTGGCACGAAGGGCGGCTCCAGCATGCCCGCCTCCAAGCGTCGCCAATTCAGCTGTGTCGAGTGGAAAAACGGATGCGCCATCACATCCTGGGCGCCCATTCGCCCATTGCGGCAGCCCAAGCGTTGCTTTATCGATTTAGCTAACAGCTGTTGGCACATTGATTTGGCTTCATCATTAAACTTGCTCGAATACTTTTCGGCATCCTCCTGCAAATGAATTATTGCTTTAATATTATTGGCTCTTGTCTTGCCTAGCGACTTGTTACGGACCTTAACACGTCTATCCACCTCCTCGCGCTTCACCTTCTCCTTGCGCATGCGAAACGGCGCCTGACCCTCGATCATTTCATACAGCAGGCATCCAAAACTGAACCAATCCGGCGAGAAGGCGTACTTCTCATTGTCTATAACTTCCGGCGCCATGTAGCCTGTTTGATTGATATATTTATGAATGCTTAAATTCTTCCTTTTAATTGGTGCACTGTCTCTTACCCACTGTGCCGACTCGTCCGCGCACCATCTCCCCCTCGGGAATCTCCACGGCCAGGCCTAGATCAGAGATGCGCACATGCCCGTGATCATCTAACAGTATGTTCTCCGGCTTGCAATCCCTGTAAACAATGCCCTGCTTGTGCAGATGCTGCAGTCCACAAGCCACCTCCGCTGCATAGAATCGGGCACGCTCTAGCTCGAACCCAGGCTCCCCGCCCATGTTGTAAATATGAAACTTTAAATCGCCGCCTGCAAGAAAAAAAGAACGAATTGAAAATCGTTTTGGGTGAACTGATAATGAGAAGAAAATAACGGTTGTTTTTTTTTAATCGCACAAGAAGTCAACAGATTAAATTTAGGGCAACAATGTCAGCTCACATGGGACCAGTTCGTGCCGACTTTGTCAATCATGTTAAATTATCCAGTGAATTTCGAAACGGAATTTCGTTGACCTTCTTTACGCATCAATTTTTTTAATATGACCCGACCCTTGAATCCAGGAAGCGCTCTAATTATATATATCGTGCTGTCTAGGGCTAC